CTTCTGCGTCTGTGTTTACAATTTTGTCATTAAATCTTAGTTGAAAAAAAGTCGCCCTGTATATATTTTTATACTCATATAAGACTTCAGGTTGTTACTCACCGATAATAATCCCAGTACAAAGTACTAAAAAAACCGACTTCAAAAGTACGTGGAATTACATCTATTTGCTAAGTTTCATTGAAATATCCCCTAGTTCGCCACTATATAGGACTTGATACTGGAGATTATAAAAATAGGTTCTCAATACGACACTACTCAAAGTATATCGAGAGAAAAACGCCTTGAATTGGAGAAATAGCAAAATCAACTAAATAATTGCTAAAAGTAATTGCTCCTAAATTAAATTTAGGCGCTATTTATAAAAATGATTCTTCATGCGTGAACAGCCACCTTTTGAGGTGGATGATTTTCTACGAAATGAAATGGGACCACTATGTAAATACCCCCTTTCCAACAAAAAAGAATCATGAAAATCGGTTCACAAATACCGGAGTTATCGCGTAACATACATACAAAAAAACAAACAAAAAAAGAACATACAGTCGAAGTGAGAACCTCCTCCTTTTTTGAAGTCGGTTAAAAATAGAAAACTAACTTCCAGATATGGTGGAAAATGTATGGTGGTGCGTGGTTCGATGACAGTTGCAAACCGCTGTTTAAAAGGCTGAACATATTACCTTTGCCATGCATGTACATTAGGGATATCTGCGTATTTGTCAACTCTTCTCCACAAAATTTTAAAACACGCGGTGAAGTCATTCAAAGGCAAACTAGATCAAAAATTATGAATCTCTTATATCAACCTCGTTGCCATAAAGTATATATAAGAATAACTGCTTCAACATGTGTATAATTATTTACAATAAATTACCAAACGAAATTAAATTGTTACAAGGACATACTTTTAAATTAAAATTGACAAAATGCCTCTTTTGAATTGAATAACTGCCTCTGTGGCCGAACGGTTACCATGCCGGACTGCCACGCAGAGGTCCCAGGTTCGATTCCCGGGCCGGGAGAAATGTTTGTATGCCTACAATTATTTCTCTCGTGAGTTTGGGTGTAATTTGTGGTTGTCTATATGTGTGTCCATGGCACCCGCGACACAGGGTTTACCTAGTGCGGGGCTATGTTGAGTGTGCGCGTTATTTATTTATTTATTTAAACAAAATGGCTGTTGACACATTGCTTCTATAGTAATAAATAATACTTAGAATTTACAAATTCATTACATTAATTAGAAACTATAGAGACTAAAGAAACATTGAATCCCACTAATATTTGCACATCTGCTTGCAGGTTGAATACAATGTACCTAATTTTACTTAAGACCTTTGTAATTACTGTATTCTGGCAAATAAACGTATTCTATTCTATTCTATAAAAAAATATTTATACCGTTGTATACGGATAGGTTTCAAAGCAAAAGGAAACATACGAGATCACCTGAATGTGGAAATTATAAATATGTGATCAACAGCTTGCAAAAACTATAATTTGGGCTTGCGATTCGGATATCCTAATACACGCCATATCCGGACTTCGTTAGATTTTGGTATTCGGATTTAGCAATTTTTACGATTCAGATAATTCAAATATTTTGAATATTAAATAAACAGTTTCAAAACAACTTTCATTAGGGTGTTCCAAAGATATAGGTCGCAGTACAACTATAATTTTATGTCAAAATACACATATTATATCCTTTAAAAAATTGTGACGAGTCGTGCCCGCACCAGACGCGACCCGCCACAAAGCGCCGCGCCCCGGCCGGCCGCAGGACGCAACACTAGCTGCGCTGGCGATAGTAGGCGAGAAGCGCGCACCGAGAACGAGGACCGATGTTATAGAAGGCCGCCAGCCGGAACGAGCGACACACTCGCTTGAGGAACCTCCAACGGGTGAAGGGGTGAGAGCAACCAGTTGCGCGTGACCAAGGTGTGCCCACGCCGTGTAGACACATTGCTCATTATGGTGAACCACATTTAAATTCGCGGGCTCGCAATTTCATTCCACGGCCATAAGGTGCCTGACTCACAGACACAATCACACCAATTTTCTGATCTCAAATTAGATAATTTTTTGTACTGAGTGACATACTAGGGTAACGATAAATCTGAGGCAAGACCAGAACCAACTTAAAAATGTTCGTTTCCTAAATAGGCCCAAATGGAGAATCGAACCCGGAACCTCCTCCTCGAGCGCCCGTAGTACCTATTCACCACTGTAGCACCGAAGCGCATAAGTACACCCCATAATCTACACCCAACCACGCGCTGCAGTCTGAGGCCGACTCCGCCGTAGGTTTACTTTTATTTTAACTTCCGCATAGCAGAAACATGCAGTTTATAAGTTTATATCAACACCACGATTTGTAGCACCCATCTTTGACACGATATGACTAAACTGGTAATTATTAATGATACGAGTAATAATAATGTTGAAACCCTGATTATATTTACTTAGTCATCATTTAAATATCTGCTGTAGTAGTTTTTAATATCTGTATATCTAATCTAGTAAGTAATTATTTAAAACAAACTCACCTTTGTCGATAAAATATTTTGTGCCAACAGAGTCATCAGAAAGTTTTGGAGACATATGATCTCAAGGGTTTCATACCAGTTTATGTTGTGCTCCTTCAGCAGCAGAGTCATTATTTCCAGCGTCAAAGAGAGCAATTTCACGTCTTCAGGGGACGTCAAAGTAACGGGAAACTTATCCCCATCCTCACATGCAACATAAATTCGCAACACGTAAAACAAGGCTTGGTACACGATTCCTGCTTGAGTACCACTCAAATGACCTTTCAGTGTCATCAGCTGCTTTATCGTCTCTATCACAATTTTCTTTCTGTTACTACAAGCCATCATCGCCGCTCTGAATGAGTAGCCAACCTTAACAATATGCTCTGTCGTCATATCAACGATCTTATTGTAGTACAAATCCAAATGTTCTAATCCTTTCTTGTCGTTGCTTTTACCAAATTCTTCGTAGCAATGCATGATCAAAGGATTTAGCAGCAACATCATAAACTGGTTTCGAATTTCAAAGGTTCTTCCGTATCTCTCAAATTCTATATTTTTCACTTTGGACCAAAACAAAATATTTTGCCTGAAGAAATCTAATGCAGCTAGTATTAAACGTTTTTCGAGTATTAAATAATGAATCATATTGTAGTACAATGTTATGATATCATTAGCGGCCTTCGGACATGTGTCTTTGAATTTAGGTTCTAGAATCACTTGCAACTTTAAACGAATAAAAATGTGATACAGCAACAAAACTGTATCAGGATCTCTAGACACCTCCATCATTATTTGGAATGGAGACTTCATTAAGTCAATTCTTGTCAGAAAAAATTTCATCACCTTGTTTGGTTTGCCCAATTCCGTATCGTTGAGAATCATTAGTAAAACGTGGAGATTTGGAACCATCGGTTCGTATATATTTTTTTCGGCTTCCACGTCAATGACTTTGCATTGATATTTAGACAGGCAATCTTGAGTTTCTACAGGTTCAAGAATGAACTGAAGCACTTCACAAAGTGCTCCATCTTCTCCGTATTCGTTTAGCTTCCAGGTCAACTTCGCTATGTATTGGCAGCAAGCGTGAAGTATTGTCTTCGGAAACGTATGAAGGTCTGGTAAGAAAACACGAGTCCATATTTTGTGCTGAATGACCCAGCTTAGACCTGTGTAATGAGAGATTTGAGCTGTAAAAAGTTTTAAGCCTGACATGTAAATGGTAGGTGTCGACCCCCTCACTGCATCGAACAGTTTAAGAGCTATCTCTTCGAATCCCTGCATCTGTTGAAGTTTGTTGAAGTGAAGTTCGTTCTTGAAGAGGATTGTTGCCACCTCCAAGATCAGCGCCTTGACTAAGGTCGACGTATTTCCAATGTTCGCTAGTGCGTAGAGGATGAGTTCGGAAAAGAATGACGAATCGAAAATTTTTTCAGCATCTGTAACAATACAATGATTTTTTAAACGTAAACTAAAACTCTTAATTACGAGTACCCGTAGCCACAATCTTGCCTAATGTTATGCGATAATATGACCGACGATTCTGCAGTCTGCGACGACGTCATGGATAAACCTAACACATTAAATGATTTTTTTATTGAATGGGTATTCAATTATTTTTTTGTGAAATTACTTCACTACTTTGTTATAATAATTAATACAAAGATCGAACACTCAGAAAAAATTCGTTCGATCCGATCGTTGAAAAACCAAATACAAAGACGCAACGAAGGCACATAGAAAAATTCGTGAGGTCCGCTGGTTCGTTCCGCTAGAAGACGTCGGTTCGAATCAAGCCGGATCGAAGGAATTTTTTCTGAGTGTTCGATCTTTGTATTAACAATTATAACATTCAATGAAGTTTGACAAACCCCAGGTCCTTGCAAAAAAAGTCCGTTATCTAACCAGGATGCTGCGAAATGCCATTGCAATTTAAAATATATATTATAAAAAAAAAAGAAAAAAAATGTGGTCGGATAAGTAATTCATTTAGTTCTAAATCACAAAATGCAATACCATCTAATGTTTGTATAGGTACTTAACTAAACACTGCTAAAAATGGAAAAATAAAAAAAATTAAAAAAAAATCAACCAACTTCAAAAACCACAAATAGCATGTTTTATACCAATACGGTAGCGCGAAAATGACCCTAGTTCGAGCAAAGGCGAAGGTGGCACCTCGGCGCACGCGAAGCATCCCGCGCCTTGTACTACTGGCTGCATTCATCCGAGCGATGCGATTTGTTAAACTAAGACTTTCCGATGATATAAAATACCACCGCGGGTAATATTCTTGTGCGGCTATCGTTCATGTACTCCAAAACAATACAATAAGGCATTTTCCTAGGATTATACTGAATTTGCAATTGCAATGATTTTCCGAGACCTATAGTTGGCACGCGTCAGGCGCTAACTTACCACTTCTATTGTATTTATTGTTCTGTGCTTTCTACGTTGACCCGGCCGGGGATCGAACCCGGGACTTCAGAGATGGCGACACCATGAAACCGACATGCAAGCCACGCGACCACGGAGTTCGTCTATTTAATATGTCGGAGGGAGAACGAGAGGCGTTATCGTTGGCCGATACCCTGATTGCTTATCACCGAGATATGCATTCATTTGACAACAGTTGAAAGAAAATAAAGTCTTACAAGGAAGGTTTTGCATTAATCGAGTAATAACCTAAAATTGATTTGTGTAAGAGTGATGTCTTGTTGTAATTAAGTTTCTGTATTATTAATGCTCTTTTTAGATATCTTTAATCTAAGTGGGTACTTTTCGGGTTAGTTTTCTTTACCTGATTTCAGTGGCCATTTTTATTATTTAAATAATATTCGAGTCGTGAAATATTGAATAATGTTTCAGGTTACTACATTTGAATATTAAATAATATCTATTTCATGATAATATTGTACTATATTTAAATAAATATTTAAAGAAATTGGCACTGCGAATTTAGGTAGAAACATTATCCTGGAAATTACCCAAGTCCGTTTTGGGAAACTGTACCTAAATGCAATTTAGCTGAATTGCAGAATTATTGAGAAAACAAACATTGAAAGTTAAAAGTAGGTAATTAATAATATCGTATACACTCATAACCCCGCACTAAGAAAGCCCTGTGTCGTGGGTGCCATAGACTACTCACGAGAGAAGTCAATCAACAAATCTTAAAAAGAGAAATCAATGTACAAATCTTTCTCCCGGCCCGCGAATCGAACCCGGGAATTTTGAGTGGCAGTCCAGCATGGTAACCGTTCGCCACGGAGACATTAAAAAAATACTGCAATGAATCTTATTGCGAATAATGCATTGGATTAACGTCATTACTTTTATTTATACATATTTGTAATCCATTTATAAACGAGAATATATATTTATGGGTATCGTTCAGTGTATTTTTAACTTTAAAAGCGTGTTTTCTCAATTGCAAAACTTTAAGTTAGGGCAGTATTCGCAGAGTACGTGAAGTAGATATCTACGTAATTAATATATTACTTACCTTTATCTGGACAATCCTCCAAATACCTGAGCAGATTTTCAGCATAATAATTGTTTATTTCAAAACCTGGCTGAAATAACTTTACAAAAACATCGTTAATTTTATTTTTATAATTTGTTAACTCCATCTTTATTCAATCACCCTAACCAACGGCTGTTCACTCTATCGCCTTTTTTATAACTTTAATCACAATTTGCAGTTATCTAACAAAGGTTACACAGCTATCTTATCTCTCTGTTTTACAAAATACTACGAAATAATGTACGTACGTCTACAGCATGGGTTCACAAACATATTTTGCCTACTGCCCACTTTGAGAATAAATTATTTTTTAGCGCCCCCATTTTTTCACCTACTTAAAAACCACTATAACTTCAAATAAAATTAATTATTGTGAGCTGTATTAGCGGAGATTAAACATTCATTCTAAACGAGACTTACTATAACCCGAAGAGTTAACTTGAGACCTGAGCGCAGTAGGTAGTACACAACGGCGCTCAGGTCTCAAGTTAACTCTTGCGGGCTACACCTGCCAATGAGAATGATTATTGAAACGCAGCTTTATAGTATTCAGACAGAGTACCTTTTATCCAAAATATAACAAACAATCGATTCTTATATAAAAACTAATGTGAAGAATGAATCTGTTTAATAAGTTTGTTGAACGATTGACCACAATCCAGGGTACAATTGCGGGATCGGTTTTTGTAGCCAAAATTCTTGGTAGCCATTTTTGAACTTGATTTTTATTTCCTCGTTCGTTGTCAATTCAATAAGTTCTTCTTCCAGCTGAGGTGATATTGCTGTGTTGACATTTGAAAACGGATCCAACACCCAGTCTGGTATTTCCAAGTTCAAAATGTCTTGGTGTCAGATTTGATACGTAGGCATTTTCGCAAATGCACAAATGATCTACTCGCCTCCTTTCTATTCCTATCCTAAAAAACGCACTGATTTGAGGGTAAGATTTCGCCCCCGTCAAAAAAAAAGGATATTCCCCGTTGTGCCGGGCCCTGTTGCAACTACTCTGTGAGAGACCAGAGTGGGCGGCGCGACAATCCCCTAACACCTGGGCATACGCATAAACACCAGCAACCGACACATCTATCGAGGGAACAACTCAAGGTCAGTCAGTGCGTTCGCCCTATTCCATTTTGGCCCAGTCACAGCATGGTCCTTCGAGCCGGATAGCGTGGTTCTTTGAGCCGAATAGCTTGATCCTCTGAATCCTGTTTCATCCATCCTATCCGCATTATCTCTAATCAAAATCCATTTACGTAATCATTTGTGCAAATCTACATTTTTATCAAACACATTCGTTCTCAAATTATTTTCCTACATTTGGCGGTAGATAATTCTCATTTTCATATTTTACGCAAGTTAATACGTTCATTTTGTGACATTGTCTCTGGTAACATTATTCTTTGCTTAGAGTATGGAAAAAAAATTAAATCTTTGCTTTAATTGACAATCATCGTCAATCGTCAATTCATTCCGTTCAATAATTCAACATAGAAATTTTTTTTGTCTGTGACTTTGGACATTTCATTCATGCCAATACTCTATGACAAGTGACATTTATTTGTGAACGAGTTCACATCATAACTTCATGGCTCTGGACTGAAAAAAACGGTTTCCTTTAGTTTTTTTCACCTTAGAAAAAAAATGTTTTTTAACAATACACAGGGTCGTATTCAAGAACTCTACTCAATGCTCAAGACAGGACTTGAGCAGCCTTGAGTATGATTTCAAGCACTGGAAATACGACCCTAATGGCAAGGACTTGAGTATGATTTCTAGTCCTTTGAATCATACTCAAGTCCTGAGTTGAGCATTGAGTATAGTTCTAGAATATGACCCTAAGCGTGCCACATTTTTTGTACCCACTATGACGTCACAAGAACTATTTAGTGATGGAAACCACCTTTCGCTCGCTCTACATCGATTGATTGAGCGGAATATGCGTAACACGCGTGGAATTCACACTATTCAAGTAGGTAATCGATTCTAAATAGAAAAATTTTTGTCCAAGTATTTGTTGATTACAAATAGTCGTAATATTAATATAGTAGAAAAATACTAGAATAAGATAGTTAGTCCTTTATTTTACTTGTTTTAAAAAAATGTTGATTACTTAAAAAATTAAGAGTTTAATTTTGAATCGACTTTAAATATTAAAATTGTCCTCCTTTAAAAATGAGCTTATAATAGAAGACCTTTTGTAATAGAAGACCTTATCGATTAACTTAAATGATGAAAACGAACGTCAATATATGAACCTGCGACTGCCTTAATTAATTTTACTAGATGGTTTTTTGTTGGTAATTGATCAAATTGATGAATGGCAATGCAAATGAAAATGTTACTGCTGACAAAATATGGTAAAATCTTATTAATCAGAAGAGGTTTACTTAATGACGGCCTCGTATCAAATTTTTGTGATTTGTTAATTATTTCTCGGATTTCTAACTCTGCTACTCTGCATATTAGGATGGCATCTTAGGTGGTATAAACTAGCCCAACTTCGTCCTTGAAAGCGTCTTTTGTAAAAAAGTTAATTCTTTTTTTGTCTTACTCGTACTACATGTCCGGCCATGTACGTAAACGTTATAATAAAAGAGTTATAGAATATTTTTATAATATTGCTAAGGTCATAATAATTTTCGTCCCTTTGTTTTCGAAATCGATCGGAATCGAGAACAGTGTTGCCTAATGTTAAATTATGCCAAAGAAATGTATAAGCGGCCGTACCACGAAACTGAGTGCATTATACAAAAGTGCGTTTGTTCGATAATCATGGCGTATTAACAAAGGATCACAAATATATTGCACCAAGTAAAAGCAACAATGTATGACAAATATGAGGCATACACTCGGATACATATTTGTTTTCTCGAAATTCATACAAAACCAAAATAATTGTTTTTAAAATAAACTATGCATCTTCAGATTATAAAATTACTTGTCCGTGGTTGAAAACGTCCCTGTTTACCCACAGTTATGGTGCTTTTGCAGTTTATAATGGCAAAATTATGCATTTTTCGCGTTTTCGAATGGTGTTTATCTATGATAATGTGATGTGCTTTAATGTTAAAGTCGCGTCATAGTACGAACTAATACGAGCAGTAAATAATACGAGCGAATGAATAGTCACAAAGCTGCCAATGAAACATAGTTTTAACATTATAATAAGCTTACTTTAAGTGCGTTATGGCACGAAAAGTCAATGTAAGGTTAAAGTAACATTGTTTTAAGAGGTTGTGGCAGGCCCCCAGGTGATTACGAATAACATCGATTCGTAATCACCTGGGGGCCTGCCACAATTAAATAAAAAAAAAGAATTGTGGATTTTTTTCGATTTTTTTTAGTGATTTGGGTTCAATTTCGGATATAGAATGACCTTTGCAAATATGTCGAGAATACAATTCAACATATTGTATAATTCTAAGCAAAAAGTGTATAATATAGCTCCATAGATCCAGAGTTACAGCTCTTGAAAATGTACGTGGTTCATAGTCGACCACCCTATTCTACGTTCGTACATACATGTAAACATAACGTCCAAAAACATTACCTCTATATACCTGCTGAGGTCGTTAGGTAAAAAGAGTAGGATGTGGTGGGACTGAAGAGGTAAACACGTACGAGGCGTCTAAAAAAAAACACGGTAAAACCTGTAACTGCGAGTACATACTTAAATGAAATAAGAACAATTATAACCTTGGCTGCGGCACTAAGCAGGTAAGCAAGAATTTAGGATTCCAACAATTTTTGTCATGTCCATATATTATAAGGTGGAATGACAGTAGGTTCAAGGCAAGAAAAGACAAGGCAAAGTGAGTAGAAAGGTTGTATCATAATATACACTGGATAACATTCAAAAATTTATTTTGCGTGGAGAACAAAATAGTTTTTTAAATTATAATTTTAATCTTTTTTATGACGTTTCTTATCATGAGAGGTACGCATTAAAGTACATACGACCACTTGGTTAAATTTAATATATTCGCATACCTTTTTACTCGTACTTTTCACATACATACAAAACATTCATTCCGGTATGTTTCCTTTGAGTATACAACATCTAAGTACGATCCTGTTGTTTTAAGTTCACGTTTATGGCTTCCACCCAACTCGCTCTAGGTACCTACTTCGTGTTCATGACGGGTCTTTAACACCAATAATTTGCGACCCTCCCTTCTACCTTTTAAGTGTTGGAAAAGGTGAACCTGAATAAGTTTCATGGATCTTGTTAAGTTGGACTGTAAGATTTTCAAAGGCTGCTCGTTGTACGATATTGGAAACTTGGTCGAACCGTAGAACATTCGACGCGGATTCTCGGCGTCAGTGGCCGACGTGGCGCAACAGGATTGTGACGTGACTTGGTTCGTGTTTCAGGTTAGTGAATTTGTATGTTCTGCATGTGCTACCTGCTTATGTATGACCGTACAATACCTCCACACGTTTTTGAATGCTCAGTTTGATTACAAGGAGCGAGCTGATGCTAGATGTAGGTAGCATGAATAACTTTTTTTTCGAATATGTGTTTAATCGTTTCGATTCGACTAGTTTATCATATGATCAGAATGGTACGGACGGCAGCATATCAAGCTACCTATTGCCGGATCTTGTTCCGTTGCTCTGAAGGCAATATTCAATCAAAAGTGTACCTATACCTTGATGTGCTGTTGACTGTACTTACAAAAAACAGCTTCATGCAGAAGCTCAATCAGAGGACACAAAAATTTTAAACCGCGAAAGGAAATAGTTATAGCTTGACAATTCAGATTTAAATCCAACTCTGTGCCGCTTACGATAAGAACGGTCCAAAGCGCAGTGTCAAGCTAGACGTGCTCTTGACTGTACCCACATGAGAAAAAGTAAACTGTACCTACGTAGGTATATTCTACTTAAATATTCACTTATGAGTGTTCTTTCAAATAAAAAGCAATACTTAATTCCTATTGGAATGTATTGTCAACCATTTACCTAGTTCTCACGTAACTTGCAATGTTATCGAGCCACAGGTGCGCGGGGCGAGAGCGCGACCGGCGCGTCTCATGTTACGTCACCGTCCACCGCTAGCGATAATCTCGTACCGCCAGTTTCATTCAGCGGATCCATTTATTTGCATCTGCTATCGACAACTCGCTGAATAGGAGCTACCTACGTATACGCGTCGCCTAGTTAGCTTATATAGTTACCTACGTGCTTACTTAGAAGAACATCTCAATCGCGCTGGCGAGCCGCGGTGAGTTACGTAACTATAATATTTATATAGGTACCTAACGAAAATACCTTCAATTTACTTTTACTCTTATATAACGTTAAAGGGTCATTAAGTGACTGTCACGTAACTACTAAATGGTAATATCGTATGATTTGGGCCTAAAACGCGTTTTAATAAACGTTTGCAGGTAGGTACCTACATTTATATGACCAACATTAAATTGTCAGTTCGCGAGTTCTTTGAAACTTGATATTCATAGTGACAGTGTATGAATATGATGCCGTATTTTACAAGAAACCGGCAATGTAATATTCCTTATTTACCACAGTCTTGTATCTTAAAATATTTCAAACCCGAAACTTTAAAATTGATTGAGACATTCAAACCGTAAGCAGTACCTATACAACACGCTTTACTTATAGGTTATGATGATAGTTACCCATAAATGAAATTATTAAGTAATTTGCTCAAGACAATCTATAGTATCGCACATATGAATTTGTTCTGCATTTTGTTACGACGATATTTTATTATGTTTACCTACTTAGGTACTTACAGTAACATAGTTACGTAAGATGTAGTTTAATTTACCTTTTATAAAACATACCTACATTTATAATAAGCGTCTGACGCAATCGTCTCCGATTTCAATAGGTTTGTACGAGTACTAGTTATAGCGGCGAGTAGATACGGGCTGATATTTGTCCGCCATTCTATTGACCTGTCGTCGGTCGGGGATAGTGCAATTACGCGTACCGGACTTCGGACACAATGTAGCAATTCGAGTTTGGCACGCTAGTGCACGTAGTTGCGCGTCAGGGACCTGGGCCCTGATTTTAATTGAAATCGGAGTCGATCGGTTCGGGTACTCGGGTGGCCCATCCGCAATATTATGCGCCTCGCCGACTCGACGCCTCGACGACTCGAGTCCTCGACTCGGAAAAGGCGCCGTTTCCGATCGGGAGAGGCAATCAAAATCAGGCCCCTAACACTAGTTAGGGGCCTGATTTTGAGGGCGGGTGTTGACCACAACAGAAAGTCAAAAATCGGTTAATAACAATACCGCGGATCTGGCGTCAGGTGCAGAGATGGGCAGTGGATTAAACCGTAATCTGCCTGCCTGGGTTTTAAACAAAGTCAAAGATTATCTATTCCATAGGTAAAATAAATTTACACTTGAAAACGTCACATTTAAGCTACTGCTCGTTCACTACGCTGACCTCCCTTAGAGGAACCAGCAAGAAACTCTAGGGATTGCTCTTTTCAAATAAACTTAAACGCTATGGAATACACTTTGAATCAAATTTGTGTGGATTCTGGAGCCGTGTCGTCTTTCCATACATCTTTATTTAACACGTAGTCTTCAATTTTGTAATATGTTTTTCGATCAAAATATTTTTAATGTAGTTTTTAAACTTAGGAAATGATAAACTTAATATATGCTCCGGAATCTTATTGTAAAAATGTATACAGTTACCCATAAAAGAGTTGTTTACCTTGGTTAAACGAAATCGTGGTACCATGAGTTTGGACTTAGCTCTTAGGTCTAATATTATGGATATCTTCTTTCTTATTCAAATTATGTATATCTTTACGGGCATATAAAACATTTACTCACCCCCGCATCGCTAGTCGATCTACCACTAGTAAACCCGTATTGTTCACTATGAAAAATATGATTCCTACAGAAATAGGACAGTAACTGAGTTGGCATAACCTTTTCGAATATTTTACTTAAAGTTGGTAAAACTAAAACTTTACTATAGGCCTATAGTTGCTGGGATCAACTTTCCTACCGCTTTTGAATAAGGGAATAACCTTGCTGTATTTCATTAAATCGGGAAAAACACCTTCGTCAACGCACCTATTGAAAGCTACAGGTAAATGTGTGGTAATTGGATCAATAATTAAGTCTATGACTTTAGTTGATATGCCCCAGAGATCTTCAGTTTTTTTAACATGTATTTAAATTAAAAAGCTTTTATGACGTCTTGTGGATTAACATGACGGAAATTAAATAAACTGCCACAAACGTTAACATTTTCCTTTAGGAGATCAATAGCAAGAGAAGAGGAGGAATTTAATGATTCTGTAGTGTTCACAGCAATTTCCGAAAAGAACGATTCAAAAGCTTGGGCTACTTTATCTTTAGATTTTATAAGTTTACTGTCTAATTCTAAAACTATATCTCTATCGTGTTGTTTAACCCTGCCTGACTCTTTGTTTATTATGCTCCAAGTAGTTTTAGATTTATTTATCGATTGTCTAATTTTGTCGCTGTGAAACTTAACCTTAGCAGCTACACAAACTTTTTTAAATGTTTTTGAATAAATTCTAACATATTCTATGAAATTGGAATTAGTATTATAAATTTTCATAGCATATAGCTCATAGAAACGAGACCTACTCTTATGAATACTTACTGTTGCCCAGTCGTTGAATTTGGTCTCTCTATGGAAAGTTAATGTTTTAGATTTAAATATATTATCAAATTGATTTTTAATTAAACCAAATATCGTGCTATATAAAGTATTTGGAACCTCCGGTATATGGGGTATGGAATTTAAACTATTGCCAATATAATTTTGACGGTCTGCAGAGAAATTGGCCTACCTTCTTGCTCATTTTACAATTAAAAGAATGGTCTGATCTTAAGCTATTTATTATTGATTTAGACACTGCGCTCTCTGTTACAAAAGAACAAGTAGAAGAGGAGGCAGTGATGCGAGTTGGTTCTAAGAAAAGATTAATCAAGTTAAAACTTTGAAATAGTGAGTCTTACAGAAGTAGAACAGTTTTTCAACAGGTTTACATTGAAATTTCCACATATTACTTCGTTTTTTTTGGTTGGAAAAATCCGCTTTAAACTGTCTTCCATAATTAATAAAAATTCTTCCATAAAAAACAAACTCGTTAAAATTAGCAGGTTGGCCTGTATACACATAAGACGACAAACTGATCCAATTCCACACATGAAATCTCAATAGTTCGTTCAGTAGAAAGATCTGTGATATCCTTACGCTCTTTAAATTTTAAGTTACGTTTAATAATAATCATGGATCCGCCTCTACTTAAGCTCTTTTTTATGAATGAACTGACTATTACACGTTTCTATCTAAACCGGTTTTAACCCGTTTCGGTCCAATTTGTGGGCGGATACCGTTATACCCGGTAATAAATTAATTTCTGTACAGTTATGGTAACAAAACTGTCTAAATTGCATTACAATCAATAATCGTTTAATTGGAATCTACATTGTAACAAAACACATTAAAAATACAGTTTAGCTAAATATGTGGATAATGTTGTTGATTGTACGTGTACTCGTGTTATTTAGTTTCACAACGAATATAATGTTATCATTTTCAAGGCATATTGAAAATAAATAAATAAAATGAAAATGTTTTAAACCCCGACACAAAGCAAGTGTATTCCAATAAAGTCACCATCAGGAAGCTAACAACCATCTACTCGTCGTGACCAATTTATTGAGCCCAAACATAACAGTTCTGTTGTAAGAAGTCGCGAAGTTGGGTGGGTTCGTGGATCTGCAGAAAGAAATGCCGGTACAATACAATACAAACGGGTTTTATCTAGAAAAATCTACCTCGTAAAACTTTTGATAAATAATTGATACAAAATTAAAGAACTACCGTCGATACACAAGACATACTCCAAACGAATGAGCCCAAACACGTTAATTCTGCTGTAAGTAGTCCAGGGGTCGGGCAGACCGCGGACTATCCTAGCTGCAGCACCAAATCCGGGTTACCATATTATGGTAATGTTATGGGATTTTCATAGTACTTATACCGATATCCAAATAAATATCTATTGTAGTCAGTCCATAGACGACATAAATTAAAGCTTACTGTGCAAAAATGGAAGTCGTTAGCTATTAAAATAACAAGGTAATAATAATAACGTTAAAACCCTCTCCTGTAAAATTTGGTTCGGTGTAGATACGCGCCTTTACCAATGCTGCGTATGTAGTTTTGTACTATCGCCGACGTTGTATATATATACTGAATTACTAACGAATATTTTTATTGTCAGAGCGGTTTTGTAAAAATTTAAGAGAAGGGAATGATATTGTCGACAGGTGTGAAGCGTACAGCGAGGCGAAAGAACGAGCAAGATGCAGGGCGGAAGTGCGATGTGGTTCCGTCACGGACTTCGGCTACACGATAACCCGGCGTTGCACGACGCACTGCGCGACCTCGCCGGCGCGCCTTTCTTCCCGGTGTTCGTATTCGACGGAGAGACCGCCGGGACAAAGCTGGTGGGCTACAACCGCATGCGCTACCTGCTCGAGGCGCTCGAAGACCTCAACCGGCAGTTCCAGAGGAGCGGGGGAAAGCTCATCATGGTCAAGGGACAGCCCGAGGCCGTGTTCCGCCGGCTGTGGGAGGAATTCGGTACGATCGCTGATCTACGTCGCCGACGTATCGTCGCAGGCAATGCTCCCTATTCCTCCCGTTGGCAGGCATTCGCAGGCTGTGCTTCGAGCAGGACTGCGAGCCGGTGTGGCGCGCGCGCGACGAGCGCGTGGCGCGCGCGTGCCGCGACGCGGGCGTCGAGTGCCGCGAGCACGTCTCGCACACGCTGTGGGCGCCCGACGCGGTCATCGGCGCCAACGGCGGCATCCCGCCGCTCACCTACCAGATGTTCCTCGTAAGCGCCCGCAGGCGTCGAGCTCTCGCCGACGGCGCGGCCGAGGCCTTAACCCGTCCCCGCTTGCAGCACACGGTGGCGACGATCGGCGACCCGCCGCGGCCCGTGGCCGACGCCGACCTGCGCGGCGTCACCTTCGGCGCTCTGCCGCGGAGTTTCTACGAGGAGTTCACCGTCTTCGACAAGGTACCCGTTCGACTACGTACTAATCCCGTTCCGATTGTAGAGGTAGACGCTATTTGCGTAACTTCCACGTTTACTGTCTTGTCATAAGCGCGTACAAAAAAAACTAAAAATAAACAAATTATTATAAAGACGTTGGATGCAGCTATAGTAAGTACCCAAGTCGTAATAAACATATGTGTGCTCGGTGCGAGCGACGTTTGCACAAAATCAAAACAAAGAACAAAAAGTAACGAGAATGGACACTCTCCGCCCCTCCCTGGATTTAGATACTGCACCATGCACCACACCCCGCACACTGACGGTCACATTGACTGAACGACAACGAGGCTGTCGGCGCGGCGACCCGTTTTCGCGCTAAGACGGCTGTGATGTTTGAATGTAGAAAACTAAATTATTCATTACGGAACTTGTACGTTAATATTATTACATTGTTATAGGTACATTACCTACTATTTATAATGGTCGTGAATAGTGTTGTGTACGTCTGTTCATCATCATCTAAACGGAATAAACAGATGAGTTTGTTTCGTTTTCCGAAAGATGAAAAAAACTTACATCTGAAACTCATTCAGTTATTGTTTTTTTTTTATTTAGTGCATAGAAATACACATATAATACAGAAGTTATGGCAACTTAGGGAGCTAGTAGACAAAGGTTCTCAAATTTTCAATTTGTATTGCCGATAAATATTATTGATAAAATTGATAAACTTCGACACGCAATTTCAAATACCTTGGTTACCTTATCTAAAAGTACCTGTCCAAAATACAACATTTTAAGTGCTTTTAATATATTTTTAAAAGAAATCTTCAATATTATTCTTATTAGTAAATTAATGAAAAATATAATGTTATATGGATATAAATACCTAATGAACATGTGTAATTATTACGATTCTATTAATAGAATTATAGATAACAGATTCAGGTTAGAATTTTCACAATGTTGCCGCTCTGACCACGTAACGTGATTGTACGAGAAAGTGATGGGTAACCTTGCCACTTCACGCACACATTTACGCCTACGCCTTACTGTATGCAGTAGTATTAGTCGTAGGTAAATAACTTTCAACCGTTGTATGAAGTGTCCGGGGTGTGATTAAAGCACTCATTTTCGAGATAGCAAGATGCGGTGCGAAACAGCAATTAAACAATGTGAATATACTTATTGTAAATTAACGCACACACGCAAACACTCAACATAGCCCCGCACTAGGGAAACCCTGTGTCGCGGGTGCCATGGACACACACATAGACAACCACAAATTACAACCAAACTCACGAGAGAAATAAATTTAGGCCATACAAACATTTCTCCCGGCCCGGGAATCGAACCTGGGACCTCTGCGTGGCAGTCCGGCATGGTAACCGTTCGGCCACGGAGGCAGTTAAATTGCATAGTGTATTCGGTGTTTGAATGCGTGTGCGGTGTAAATGCACTGTAGAGAAGAAAATTGAATAATCGAAGAATGTAAATTCTTCATCGGATTTTTGAAAAATCAGATAAAAATATGATATTTCCCAGTTCCCAGGTCGTGGAAGCTTGCAAACGTGCAACCTGTTCCGAAAAAGGGAAGCTGAGCTGACCCTGTCAACTATAGACCTATCCCAGCCACTTCCATACTCTGCAAGACTATGGAAAGTGTTGTACCTTGAAGACAACGACCTCCTCAGTGATCGCTAGTACGGATTCCGACGAGGGCGATCTACTGGGGATCTTGTTTATGCCTGTCACATATGGAGCGAATCTATAGAAAAGCAAGGCGAAGCACTTGCAGGGTCTTTGGACATTTCTAAAGCCTTTGACAGGGTCTGGCACGTAAGCCTTTTAAGTAAGCTTCCCTCTTATGGGCTTCCCCTTGGACCTTTAAGGCTACTCTTCCGAACATATGGCGATAGATGGCGGAGTTCCTCAGGGTTCTGTACTGTCTGCAAGTCTCTTTCTGCTGCATATCAATGATATGTTAATTCCAGGTACCATTGCGTATGCTAATGACAGCACAGTTGTAGATAGGTACTTGACCAATGCAAGGGTCAGTGGATAGGAAATTCAGTCTTGTCGAGAGTCCATGGTTAGCCGTTTGGATTTGACACTCCAGGCTGTCTCCGATTGTGGCGATACCAGTTTTGTCAATTTAACGCTACCAAAACGCAGGCGTGTCTATTCTCCACAAAACGGAGTCCTTTTGAGCTGACTCCGACTTTTCGTGATATATCCATACCGATAGCCGACTGTCTCCAGCTACTTGGGATGGACCTGTAGTTCAATTTGAACTTCGGCAGATACAAGTATCTGCCGAATTGAATGGATTCAAGAGTTCATGGCCAAAAGTGCAGCAAGGAAGCTTGGCATCCTTTCCAGGGTGAGGCGTTACTTGATGCCTATGATCTAAATCACTAATCAATCTAAATATCTAGATAGACGCCGCAAGTGTACGTACTTCGCGTGGCCAATGTAAGTGAAATACACCTAGTTGCCGCTGCTCTGCTACACTTCAAAACGAGCTCGACCGTTATCGTAGATAAACACCAGTCGAAAACGCGAAAAATGCACAATTGTACCATTATAAAATGCAAAAGCACCATAACTGTAAACGAGTAAACAGGGACGTTTTTGTAATCAGAAGATGCATAATTTATTTTAAAAACAATTATTTTTATTTTGTATGAATTTCGAGAAAACAAATATGCAACAGAGTGTAAGCCTCGTGATTTGTGAAACATTGCGGCTTTTACTTGGTGGAAATATATTTGTGATCCTTTGTTAAAACACCATGAATACCGAACGAACGCACTTTCGTAGGTACCTATAATGCATTCGGTTTCGTGGTACGGCCGCTTGTAAATGTTTTTGGCCAAATTTAACATTTAGTGATGCATACGTTTGTCAACACTGTTTTCGATTCTGTTCGATTTTGAAAACAAAGGGACGAAAATTATTAGGAATTTACATTGACTTATAATTGTAAGTCAATGGGAATTTAGCATATTATAAAAATATTCCATAACTCTTTTGCTATAACGTTTAGTAACGTTTCGTTTTTTTTTTCAGTTTTGTAGTATCTATTCTCAGTAGTACCTGTAATTTCGATATATAATTTTTGCAACACGTCGCCTCGAATGTCCGAATATAGTGAGCAAATAATTACATACATCGCCGGATATGTAGTACGAGTAATACAAAAAAATATATGTATAATGCAAAGAATTAACAATGCGCTGTCTTTACAAAAACCTGGAGTTGGTCATACGTATGAGTTTGTTGCTTTCGAGGACGAAGGTGGTCTAGTTTATCCCAACTAAGACGCTATCCAAATATGATGAGTAGCAGAGTTAGACATCCGATAATTAATAAACGAATCACAAAAATCTTACACAAGGCCGTCATTAAGTAAACCTCTTCTGTAAGATTTTACCATATTTTGTCAGCAGTAACATTTTCAGTTGTCTTGCCATTCATCAATTTGATCAATCAACAACAGAAAACTATCTAGTACAATTAAATAAGACAGTCGTAAATTCATATATTGACGTGCGTTTTCATTGTTTAAGTTAATCGACAAGATCTTCTATTACAAAAAGATGTTCTATAATAAACTCATTTTACTGTAAGGACAATAATTTTAAAGGCCCAAGTTATAACGTTCAGGGAACAAGTCTGCAGGCAGGGAATTCCACTCCATAGCCATTCGCCATATACTTAAATGTAGAAGCGTAACGCTTCGCGCGTTTCTTTGGAATATCCACAACATATAGGTGGAACCCAAGCCTACGCCTAGTCCCCCGATGATGGAAAGGGGAAGGCGGAATTAAATCGTGTAATTCCATCGCACACTCTCCGTGATATATCCTGTGAAATACCGATAAGCAGGCAACTTTACGGGGGTGTTCAAGGCTCTGCAGCTTCGCCGCCCCTAATACCGAGTCATCTATAAACTTCTTGGCACGATTGTCAATTGAATCCAAAGTGGCCAGTTGATATGTAGCAGAGCCATCCCAAAGGTGGCAGCAGTACTATCCAAAAGGTGGCAGCAGTACTATCCAAAAGGTGGCAGCAGTACTCCATGCACGACCGGACTTGTCCGTGGTACAGCTGAAGCAACTGTCCCGGTATTTGAGGGTCACTATAATCAAAACTAACGTGAAACTAATAAGTCATCTATACGCACGCGACTCCATATTTAACAAGCTTGTACACGGTAAAAACAGATTACTTAGAAAAAGACAAAATTCTTTTTATGAAGAAAAATTTATTTAATCCAACAAACCGATCCTCTCCCTATAGACGCTAGAGAATAATTACTTGATAATAGTAAAAAAACGTCTCAAAAGTGTATTTTTGTTATAAGACAGAAATATTTAATCCAAGAGCAAATTAATTTACTTCAAGTCACAAAGCCACTCTAGATTAGAGGTGGGTGATAAATAACGTCACGATGATCCGCCGTCAAACAGAATCACCGTGTCTCGTTCCGAAGGAACGACGTTCCAAAGTCACATAGGTGTTCCTCCGTTCCAATAGCTATCCCCGTCACTCAAATCACGACATACGTATTTGATACAATGCGCGATCTCCGTTCCGTGGTGACTGAGCGCGCCACTCGTTGCAGTTCTCTTCAAATCGGGCCATTTCGGCGATGGGAGTGAGTGAGATAGGATGACTTTCTTTGCTCACTCACAAGGATCGTAAATGCTTATTACTACTAGAAAGGGCAGATGAAAAAAATCTGCAGCAGTTACTGTAAACCTATTTATTAAAAAACGTAAATATTTTTGTATATTTGTTTTGTATATTATAGGAAGAGTTGGTATTTTATATTTATGTATAACCTACTTTGTATATTCTACATACATTACACTTTATTGCTATTTTTAACAATCCAAAGATTCGCATTAAATAAGTAAAAAACAAAATTACATTAAATACAAAATCAACTTTTTGAATGGAATTGAAACTTATTACAAAGGGAGTAAAAACTTAAATCATTCTATAAAAAACGGCTATATGTATTAGAAAGAAGCCGCTGGCTAAAACGGTAAATCGTGATGTAAGTTATAGGCGTGACAAGGTCACGGAAGTAACAGTCGTGACAAAATCACGGTGATTTATCCCCGTGATTTTTTTGGAACCGGAACGACAGTCACGGCGATAGAAATGTAACGCAATTCCCCATGTCTACTCTAGATTCAACAAAATATTAATTTGTTATTAGAAATGTCCGATTTTGATTTGAAAAAAAAAAAGAATGAAAATTGAGAGGTACTTAATTATTTGACGAAAGATTTATATTTACTAATATCAAAATGGGTAAATTTATAGGGTTATGGACCCAAAAGTATGTCTCACTGGCGTGATAGCAACCAGTTCAGTGCCATTCAGTGCCGTATAAACGCTACAGCTGCAGAAAGCACTAACAATTCCAAATATGTGAGATGACTTTATATTATCGAAGTTAACAAAACGATAACGCGTTTCAGAGTACAACTAATGCCATCTAGCAGTGGCGTGATGGAACTAATTGCATGTTAAAGTTGTGCTTGTTACAAATGTAGTTGGATTTCATGCTGTAACCAAATTTCTTAAAATATAACTATGAATATAAATAACACCCTAACAAACTAGAGATACTACGTATTGTTTCTTAGGGTAAATGACTGTTTATGATTTTTATGATTACAAGCACGAGTAAAAGTAATCGTTACCGCGTGCGCCTTCGGCGACATGTCACGACAAGATTGACTATGAAAACGCAACGAAATGTTGCTTTAAGAATATACTCTAGAATTTAGAATATTAATCTGAATAGAAAACTACTTCTTTTTTTGTTTAAGAATATATTTTCTTAAAATACACCCAAGAAATTTTGAATTCATTTAAGATTATTTAAATTTGATGTAAGAGGTAAAAATTTCTTGATGTAAGTAATGTCCAATTAATTGATTAGAAATGAAATAAAATTGCTCTTTCTTATTAGTAGAAATCCTTTTTTTCTGTGTACTATTTGCCTGTAATCTGAATTGCGCTAACACTGTTGTCTGCGGTGTACAGACTCCGAAACCGGAGGATCTCGGCGTGTTCCTGGAGGACGAGGACGTCCGCATGATCCGCTGGGTGGGCGGCGAGGGCGCGGCGCTCAAGCAGATGGACGACAGGCTCGTCGTTGAGCGCGAGACTTTCTGCAGGTGACAAACAACTTGCTATTTCGGATCTTACAGAAAACGATCGAGCGGCTCGTTATTACACTTGTTTGAGTGGCGTCGTAGGCATTGGACGAGAAGAGGTGTAATGCGGTTGTTTTATTATGAAATGAATAATTGACTTGGCAGAAATGAATTCCGAATATCGTACGTCGTTGCAGGGGCTCGTACCTGCCGACGCACGGCAGCCCCGATCTGCTGGGCCCGCCCGTCTCGCTGAGCCCCGCGCTGCGCTTCGGCTGCCTGTCCGTCCGGAAGTGAGTACCTACGTCCGGCGTTACTTTCGCTGCGTCCGCCTACAAGCAGCTTTCACTACCGGCTTTTTTGTTTTTCATTATTAAGGTATTTTACTTGAACGCTATAAAGAGATACATACATGGATAAGAACATTTTATTTAATGTGGTAGGTTCTACTGGGCGTTGCAGGATCTGTTCCAGCAGGTGCACCAGGGTCGCCTCTCGGGTGCACATTTCATCACCGGTACGTATTTCGCGGCTCGTAATATGACAGCGTAGCGTGCTGACCGTGTCGCGCGTAGTTGTGTTTTTAAGAGGGTCGAAAAGGTAAATTAATACGGTCGACCGGAAGTTAATTTCCTAGTAAATATACGACACAAATGTAAAAGTGAGCAACGCTTCAATTCGAATCGACCCGACCGTGTCGAATTCCGCAGGTCAGCTGATCTGGCGCGAGTACTTCTACACGATGAGCGTGAACAACCCCAACTACGGGCAGATCGCCGGCAACCCGATCTGCCTCGACATCCCGTGGAAGAGCCCCGAGGGCGACGAGCTGGAGAGGTGAGCGCGGGGCGAGGCCGGCTCGGGCGGGCTCGGGCTCGGGCTGGGACGAGGGTGACGAGGGCGCCGTCGGCAGGTGGCGCGCGGGCCGCACGGGCTTCCCGTTCGTGGACGCGGCCATGCGCCAGCTGCGCGCCGAGGGCTGGCTGCACCACGTCGTGCGCAACGCCGTGGCGTCGTTCCTCACGCGCGGCACGCTGTGGCTGTCGTGGGAGCACGGGCTGCGCCACTTCCTCAAGTACCTGCTGGACGCCGACTGGTCGGTGTGCGCCGGCAACTGGATGTGGGTGTCGTCCAGCGCCTTCGAGGCGCTGCTGGACTCCGGCGCCTGCGCCTGCCCCGTGCGCCTGGGCCGGCGCCTGGACCCGTCGGGCGAGTACGTGCGGCGCTACGTGCCCGAGCTGGCGCGGCTGCCGGCGCGCTTCGTGTACGAGCCGTGGCGCGCGCCGCTGGCCGAGCAGCAGCGCGCGCAGTGCGTGGTGGGGCGCGACTACCCCGCGCCGCTGGCCGACCCCGCGGCCGCCGGCGCCGCCAACGCGCGCGCCATGCGGCGCCTGCGCGACGCGCTGCAGCGCGCGCCGCCGCACTGCTGCCCCTCGGACGCCGACGAGGTGCGCCGCTTCATGTGGCTGCACGACGAGCCGCAGCCGCTCGCCGCCGCCTCCGACTAGGCGCCGGCGCCGCCCCTTCTGCCCCTCCCGCTTGACTCAGTTATGGCGAACGCCGCGCTTTCGTTTCCGAGGACCGCTCCTGCGGCAGGTCGCCGACTCGCTTGCGCAAGAACGAGCCCGGGACCTGCGAGAAGCGATGCAAATCACAAAACATTTGACAGGAAAACGGTTTCTCCGAACCGCTTTCCTTATTTCATCCGATGAGAAATCCCGAACGGACGTAAGACTGCGACTAATACGAGTAAATATGTTTTAATTTAATTATAATTTCCGTTATTAATCAGTATTAAATTTTTTTTTTTTTAAATGCTGTTCAAATAAAAATATTTTGCAAAAACATACATAGCGTAAAGCATAGCATATTCTGTTAAAAATTAAAATAAGGAATGAAATTAATTACTTTTTTGAACATAAAAAATACATTAATATTACATATTCAAAAATCCGCCACCACCACTACACAACACCTACATTTCAAAATCCTATTATTTTACCTCCGTACCGCTCACTCACTCATGTTTTCAATATTAGAGTATGGTGAAGTTCGTTGTCCCCGCCTCCCCTCTTGTGGGACAAGAACGTAAAGGACGCTTATGTATATTAAATATACCTGATTAACAACTTCACCACCTTGGTCACCCATGACCAAGGGCCTGTAAAGAGCCTGAAATCTCAGGTTTGTTTGAAAAAACAATTATATGCGATTCAGACCCAAAAAATAATTTCAATAGGTACTCAATACTCAATATATTTCTTGCATTCATATGGTAAATATGTCTTAAATATAAAATAATGCTACACATATAAGCCCTTTATTAGGGATAACAATAACAGCAGAGGTAGGCCGAGGTTTCAATTATTAATTATTATTTATAATTATAATTGTTATTTATCAAATAATAATATTAAAAAAAATATCATATAATAATAAAGAAATACGTCATATTATGAGTAGAATTATGTCACTTGAAAGTTTGAATTTAATTGGATTATAAATATAGATATATTATAATTATATACTATAAAGTCATGCCACTGTAGTGCTACTACAGTAGCATAACCCTACAGTATATAATTAACATTTATTTATTATTCAAATTTATTATAATGTTATTATTTTTATTTGTCATCAAAGTATTCATTTAAATTATAATAGCATTTATTAATAAGATGTAATTTTAATTTATTTAGAAACAATTATACAGAATAGAATATTTTTCCTCGCTTTTAATAATGGGCGGGAGCTCATTGAATATCCTCACCGACATCGAGTGGGGACTTGAGCTGTGTATGTGTAGCTGAGATCGTGGCAGAAGCAATCAATTGCGTGGTCTTCTAAATTTACAAATTTCTAAAATATATATAGAACACAAAGTCAAAATTTTAAATTGTTTAAAGTGCGGTCTGCAGCTATCCGTACTACGCAAATTGCCAAGAATACGGATGCATCTTTTCTGGATTGTAAATAATTCTCGTGCGTGCACACTATTTCCCCAAAGGATAATTCCGTAACTTAGGTGGGAATAAGTGTGGCCATAATAAGCGGCCATTGCAGTCATTAGGTCAGTAGTCTTCTTTATCTCTCTCAATGTGTACGTGAAACTCGACAACTTTTTCTTATTTTTTTGTATATGACATTTCCAATTCACATGCGTGTCTATATTTAAACCCAGCAAAGTGAAGCTGTGTACTATTTCTATAGGCGTGTTATTATATGCATATACTAAGTGTAGTGGAGTTTTTGCGGTGGGTGAAATTGCATAATCTTTGTTTTATTTGAATTTATATCCAAGTTATGGTCAGAATTTCATTTCCTATGTATAACAATTGTGGAAACCGAAGAAGCAATACAAGTTAATAAGTGTACATAATATTAAGTGCCCTTTACTCCCGTTTAAACATTCTGAAGTAATAAAAGTTTTTTGTTAAAACAATAAGATCAAGGATATGTTTGATAAATCATGTAGAACCGTGCACCGCCGAATACGACCTTCGATTTTTTAGCGCATTTACCAAATGATTGTATTAAGAACTTTCCCTCAGGGAGCATATTTATATTTCCAGCATATCGCATTGTCTCGCTGTCTACTCGTGTGTCTAAATAATGTACGCCTATATATTACAACTTTGTTTCTGGAATATTATAAAACAAAAAAATGACAAGGTATTAAAAAAACGTTTTAGCAGCGACGGTTTCCTTTCGAGAATTAGGGAGGAGTGCCACATCGCGAGGCGGGGAAGACTAGCTTTTGAGCACAAAATAGGCAGATAAACTTAAAACACATATATGATTTTGGAACAACAGTTTATATAAGTATGACAAATTATTTCGTACACAGAGTTTAGACTCGTAGGACATGAAAGAATAAACGTCTAGAACGGAAGCGAGGCCTGTCATTTACGGCGCGACGGCGTCGGCGGCGGCGGGGGCGTCGTGGGAGTCGCAGGCGGCCAGCCGCGAGGCCAGCGCGCCCAGCACGGCGGCGGAGCGCGCGCACGGCGCCGCCCGCGCGGCCAGCGGCAGCGCGCCCAGGAAGGGCAGCCCCGCGGCCGCCGCCAGCGCCGCGCCGCCGCCGCTGGAGAACACGTTCGCGCACGCGCCGCACGACGGGCACTCGTAGCTGCCGACAGACGGGCTCGCTCAGCCGCAGCGCGGGCCTTCGCTCGAAGGAACCGACAGGACCGCACCGGGCGAACGTCAAAAAAAGTGTCGACGGACTCGGGACTACCGCGGAGAAAGGACGAGCTCCGCTGGCTGTAATCCCGATATGAGCCAAACTATACTCAAAAAAAGTTCATCCCAAAGTTTGCAGAAATGGCAAGATTCTCCAACTCTAAGAACGTCAGTTCTGCGATCTGGAAGTCTTAATGGATATGGATAGATTTAATATATTAATATAAATATAAATTTTTAATTAATTTCTGTGTAGTAACGAGAAAACAACACAAAAATCCGCTCCCGTTAAGGACCACATCTAAGGAAATTCGAGCCGTGGCGTAGCGGGGGGATGCACAGGAGGTTACCTAACTGGTAAAAATTATTATTTAAATCAGAAAATAAATTCCACTATTTGAGAAAACAATATCCTCAACAATGCAGGTGCAACAAGGTGGAGACGGCAGTCTAAGATAAAAACACAATCGAGCCAATCCCGTCCCGTAGAACTACATTGGTACTCGTGAAAATAGAGTGAGCAACAAATTTGTAGTTTCGCCCCGGGCCGCTGAAGTCAACACAGCACCATTAGGTGGAAAATACCTCTGTACACTCACCCACTCATGTTTTCAATGATTCCCATTATAGGTATGCCAGTTTTTCTGCAGAATGTGATCTCCTTTCTTACGTCCTCTATGGCTACTTGCTGCGGAGTCGTTACTAAGATTGCAGAACATTGTGGCACTGTTCGCAAATTTTCCATTACTGTTATGTGCTCGTCTGAAGTTCCTGAAACATGTTACAGATCAGTACTCCTTTACTACAACATAATTAGGGATTAGTGTTTTATTTTCAAGTTAAAAATATACTTTACACACCTGGTGGAGTATCAATAACAAGGAAATCGAGCTCCTGCCAGCAAACATCTTCCAAAAACTGTTTAATCATGGAAGTTTTTTTTGGGCCCCTCCAGACAACAGCGTCATTTCGAGAACTTAACAGGAAACCAATTGACATAACCCCTAGTTGCTGGTCTTCATCCATGTAGACAGGGATCCAGCCGTCAGGACCTTGGTGGACATGCTTACCTTCTAAATTTAATATGTATGGTATGCTTGGGCCACACAGATCGACGTCCAAGAGTCCTACCTGGAACATTTATTAAATTTATCTAGAGTACAGGTCTCGTAATGGTTTGCTTGCGTGTAAGTTACTTTTAGTGTATTCTATACTTTATGAAGGTTCAGGTGCTTTAGTAGTCTACAATAAAAATATTATTTACATTTCATACGTTAAATTACATCGGTAAAATGACAAATTTACTCTTTATCTCTTTAATATGTACCTACCTTAAACCCGCGTTCTTTCAAAGTCAAAGCCAACTGTGTGCTCACTGTAGATTTGCCTACTCCGCCTTTACCGGATAGTACTAAAATAACACGTCGTACTTGCTCTAACATAATTAAATAGGTTAAAAATTCAAAAGTAAGAATACACAAAAACAAAACAACTTCAACCCATGTGATATGTATGATCAAAGAGTAAAGTGTATTTGGGCATTTAAAAGATAGATATGGTTGGAAGGATGGCAATTTTATTTTGGTTAGGCCGAGTAAAGAATATCGATGCTTTTTCATAAAATAATCGATATTCATCGTCAACATTTTTAATCTCAATGTATAAAAATCAGATATTTTTTCCAAGTATCAAATTTGATATATTTTATTGCCATCAGCCGCCATATAGTGTGCTACAAGAATATTTGAAAATAATATAGATAAAAGTTGTTTCGTTGTTGTTTTGTGGCATAATTGTGGTATGTATGTACCTATTCGGTACATACTTATGTATACATATATAAATACAAAAATAAAAACAGCTTTTCCTTATATTTGGTAGTCTTGGCCGAGTCTCCTAACACATTTATCATGATAGTTAACTCTTTCCTTCCACATTTTGCAGTAGGCGATCACAACTATACTTTTTATCTGACCGTTCATTGATAACATTTATTATAAATTTCGGCACTTGTCCATAATTTTCCGAGTTTTATTTCATACATAATATACTTAATCCATATGTTAGGAATTTCACATGTTCCTATAGGATGTCGAAATATCGCTATATTTATGTAAATAAATATCGATATGGTTTATAAAACATCGAAACGATATATATCGATATTTTTTTTCAATTGCACGTCCCTAGTTTTGGTACCACCTTGTGGTACTATTGGTACACACTTGACGTGACGTCGTAACAAATGTCATTATGACACTTTTTAATACTGATTTTAAATCGGCATCGGAACAAAACCATCAAGCTTAATTCTCAACAATATCATAATTTATGTCAGACTTCAAAAAAGGGAGGAGGTTATATTATGTTTGGCTATATGTATGTTCACCGATTTGTCAGTCAATTGTGGACCGATTTTAAAAATTCTTTTCTTTTTGAAAGGGTTGTACTCTCGAAGTAGAGCCCTTAGAGCATATAGGACGGGAGGCGCTATTAGCGTTATTTCTGGAACAAAATTTTCTCCCCACTTTTTGAGGAGCGGGGGCGGGGCATAGTACTACAAGCAAACAGGTTCACTCAAATGCAATACTGAATTGTGTCTCACACAAACAAAAGTCGACAACACTTTTTACAAATACACAGATAAAACACACTTTAGGAATGTGTAATATGGTTTTTTGTGAATATCGTATCGAAACTATAGATCAATATTCGAAATTGGATTTAGAAACTATATATTTTCTGAAACTATGTATTCATGGGTACAGCCCGCGTGCGCGATGCGTTGATATATTGCCGTTACTGATATTCGGAATCAGATTTCGAAACTATATATTAGTGGACACAGTTTTACAAGAGCAATGCGGGCCAATGTTAATATACAGTTTCGAAGATGAATAAAAAATGGTTTCGCGTTGATATCCACTCTCTCTCTCTCTCTCTCAATTTTTTGCTTTGTGGGGTTTTCTCATTAACTATTATGACCACCTAATTAAATTTTAGGGTCAGGGGACCCATTTTTCAGATTTTCCAGTTCTTCTCTCCACCATGGTAAGTTAAATTTTGATTTCTTTTTTATTAACGTAATAGTCTTTTTACAGGTCTGGTCTATGCTGTTCATATATTTAAATATTAATTCTTCTAACTCTATTTTTCTGCAGGTTTTCTCTATATTCTCTAATGTTAATGTATTTACATCGAAGTTCTTTTTCAGTTCGTTTTTAAATTCTGTCTACTTTGCTTTCTTAGTATTATAAGACAACGGAGAGATACTCTTGCAACACAATGACAGTAAAAAACCAACCTAAAACACACAGAAATAAAATAAATTGTATATTAAACCTGGTGCACCAAAATATTCAAGGCATGAAAGGCAAAGAGTTAGAAATAGAATTATTTATTACTGTAATAATATTGATATTCTTTGTATTACTGAGCACCACTTTCTATCAAAACATCAGTTCATGTTTAGCTTCAACAATCACCAGGTGGCTAGTTCGTTCAGCAGAGAAAAAACTATTCATGGCGGCTCTTTAATTCTCATTAAAAATAATTTAAAATTTAAGGAACGTACAGATATTGTGAGCCTATCTATTGAGCGGACTATAGAAATATCCTGCATAGAGCTTGAACGGCTTTTTTATATTAAGCGAGTACAGACCCCCTCATTCGAACAAGTAGTGACATACGAAAAGAAAAAGTGGGCAGTAAACACCTTTGAACAGTACAAAGCTCCGGGCCAAGATGGAGTATTCCCTGCACTCCTACAATGGGGCGGGGACACACTGGTCCAGCACCTGGCCAACATCTTTCGGGCCTGTCTAGCATTCAGCTATGTGCCCCACAGCTGGCGACAGGTAAAAGTCATATTTATAGCGAAACCAGGAAAACCCGACTACACTGACGCGAAGTCCTTCAGACCAATCAGCCTCACATCGTTCTTCTTGAAGACATTAGAAAGGCTATGTGACAGAGAACTGAGGGATGGAGCGCTTATGAACATACCATTACACGGTAACCAACATGCATACAGCCAAGGCAAATCCACTGAATCTGCCCTACATGCCGTTGTGGGCAAGATAGAAGTGGCCCTTAAAGACAAAGCAATCTGCCTAGGCACCTTCATAGATATTGAAGGAGCCTTCGATAAAACCAACTTCTCCAGCATACATTCAGCAATGAGAAGACACAAAGTAGATGAAGTGCTAATTAGCTGGATTAGTAACATGCTGAAACAAAGAACAATAAAAACAACAGCAAATGAGACCCCATGGGCCATAGTAGCGAAGGGGTGCCTCCCTAGCGAAGGGAGGAGTATTGTCGCCTCTGCTGTGGAACATGGTCGTAAATGACCTTATCATTAAACTCAACAAAGAACATTTCTATACAGTAGGATATGCTGATGACATAGCTATACTGGTAACTGGAAACTATGCCAATACACTCTGTGACATTACACAAGCTGCTCTCCGAATTGTGGAAAGATGGTGCAGATCATATGAACTATCGGTAAACCCAACAAAGACGGAACTAGTAATGTTTACAAACAAACGACTACTAGGTAACTACCGATTACCCAAACTCTTCAGCACAGAACTACAGATATCAACCGAAGTCAAGTACTTGGGAGTAATACTGGACAACAAGTTGAACTGGAACAAACATCTAGACAAAAAAATTAAAAAAGCTACTATCACCTTCTGGCAGTGCCGTAGAATGGTGGGTAAACAATGGGGACTTTCACCCAAGATAACACTATGGCTCTACACCGCGGTGATAAGACCCATGATCAGTTACGGCGCGGTAGTATGGTGGCCACGAACCAAGCTGACAACCGCAACCGACAAGCTGGACAAATTCCAAAGACTCGCCTGCATGGCGACGACCGGCTGCATGAGGACAACTCCAACGGCGGCCCTCGAAGCAATGCTGGACCTTCGACCCCTCCCACCGTTCATCAGACAGGAAGCGGCGTCAACAGCAGTGCGTCTAAACAGAGCCGGCCTTTGGAAGCACATGAGGACCCCACACACAGAAATCCTTTACAAGACTGTCAATGAGGAACCGCTACTGGAGGTGGTTGTGGATAGGATCCCAAAACAATACATCTTTGACAAAAAATACAAGATACAATTATTTGAAAATCCCAACGAAGGACTGAACCCCAGAGAGGTCCGAGTCTTCACTGACGGATCTAAGACAAACTCAGGAACAGGTACCGGGGTATTCTCAGAAGACCTCAATTTTAGGATATCAGCACCGCTTGGTGACCACAACACAGTATTCCAGGCTGAATGCATGGGCATCAAGTTGGCGGCAGAAGCAATCATAGCGAGAAGAGTAAAGAACTACTCCATTCGAATACTCTCCGACAGTATGTCAGCACTTCAAGCACTGAATAGCTATGACATAAACTCAGGGCTCATTTACGAATGCCATCAAGCACTCATGGAGGTATGTATACAAAACCACGTAACTCTTCAGTGGATTAAAGGACACAGCGGCTCACGTGGCAATGATGCAGCAGATGAACTAACCAGGAAAGGGTCGGAGACGGACGCTGTAGGACCAGAACCGATAGTGTCCCTCCCCTGCCAATGGTCCAGAACAACTATACACAAAGGTACAAAAACTTCACATAATAATACATGGACCACCCTTACGGTTTGTAGACAGGCGAGGGAAGCACTCCCAACGCTCAATGCCAGTCTATCTCGAATACTAATTAAACTTAAAAGGCAAGAGCTTCGCACTCTAACTGCCGCCCTAACGGGTCATGGTCCATACAATAAACACCTTTTCAATTTAGGTATCACAGACAGCCCTCTATGCAGAGCGTGCATGGAGGGGGAGGAAACGGCTGCGCACATCCTACTCCAGTGCTTCGGCGTGGCCAACTACAGGGCAAAGTACCTTGGAGTGCCAAGGTCGCTCCCCGAAGTCTTCAGCAAACCAAGGAGGCTGCTGAGATTCCTGGAGGAGCTTGGGTGGCACGAGTAGGACCCTGCACCCACCACACGCAAAATAGGCGCTTTGTCGTCGAGTTGCGGAAACCAGCCCGTTGCACCAAGTACCAAGTACCAAGACCCCCTCATTCATCTTACGACCTATTTGAAAAAATATTAGATGTGGTTTTAGGCAAATTAAATCATCCAAATAAATATATTGCTGTTTGTGGTGACTTTAATGTTAACTTATTAGAAGATTCCAATGCTAGCAGTAGGCTCATATCATTTTTCCAATGTTATAATCTTGTGAATCTTTTCTTGGTGCCTACTGGAATAACTTCTACTACTGCCACTTGTTTAGACAACATTTATACTAACGCCGTACGTAGTAATAAATCTACTATAAATAAATTAACATCTGATCACTGCGGTCAATTAGCCACTTTCAATATAACTGTTGACAAAATGCCAAAAAAGGATATCACATGTGTTCCGATAAATAATGGTCGACTTAAAGCTTATAGGAATAAAGTAATGCTTAAACTAACTGACATTCCGTACGTTAACGATCCCAATAAATTGTATGGTT